TCAGTCTTTGTGTTTGCATGTTTCTGAGCTCAAATCAATGAAAACATTCACAGAGAAGAGAATAAATTTCTTCCAAAATATCTGGGCCTGTTTTTTCTGTTTCCATGTTCACTGTTGACTATGCCACAGTGCCACTTCTGGTTTTCTAGTGGTTATTGGAGATAAGAGTCTCATGGACTTTCCTGCCCAGGCTGGCTTTGAACCTCGATCCTCAGATCTCAGCCTCCTGAGTAGCTAAGATTACAGATATGAGCCACCGGCGCTCGGCAAGAAGTTAATTCTTTATCTCAATAAATGAATATGCCTATCTTTACACAAATGAGATGCTGATTAAGAGATGTGTGCAGCTGGATAAAGCTGAGCTAGGTACATCTGGAAGCTAATCTGATGAAATAGCAATGAACAATTGGTCACAGTGACATAATTGGAGGCTGAAGCCAGAGGACTGCAAGCTTGAGGCAAGCTACATAGTGAGACCTTGTCTCAAAACAAATTCACAAATAGTATACAATTAGCTAACCCCAAGTTTTCCTGGTAAAATACAAGTGATTTTGCTTAAAAGGTATACTTCATACGAGTGAATGAAACTCTACTAGAGGTCTCAAAATAAGGCATTGTTCTGTTGATTTTTAAGAGAAAAAAAGAGATTACTTCTATTCAGAAAGAAAAAAAATCTTATTCCAGAATAGGAAGGAAAGTGATAAAAGACAAAGCTAAGCCGGGCACCAGTGGCTCATGCCTGTAATCCTAGCTACTCAGGAGGCTGAGATCTGAGGATCGAGGTTCAAAGCCAGCCTGGGCAGGAAAGACCATGAGTCCCTTATCTCCAATGAACCACTTGAAAATTGGAAGTGGCGCTGTGGCTCAAGCAGTAGAGTGCTCACCTTGAGCTGAAGAGCACAGGGACAGCATCCAGGCCCCACAACCGACCAAAAAAAAAAAAAAAAAGACAAAGCTAAACAGGTACAGAAAACTTTGAAATGTCTATGGATATAGATTTCAATAGCTCTGGTTTTAACAAGACAGTGCAAATTGTCATTCTTCATAAGCATTCACTTCCCATGGTGCCAAAACATGTTGATGAAAATTGGGTGGCATAAACACATACACATTTATGGGCTTACAGGTCTGGATGCTGAGCAGTAGTCTTCCTGGCCCTAATACAGATAATATATGTATCATCAGACTAACTCTCGACCAATTAGTCCTATTTCATCATGCTCTGGATTAGTCTTTTTAAGATAAAAAGGAATATAACATTATATTTTCATTTTTTAAACACTTGTTATATTGTCATTTTGTATACCAGGTAGCCAAGCTACAATCAATCATTCGTCTTTTGAGACTTCCGTAATTCTATGTAAAGTGCTCAAATACCTGACAATTTTAATTTTACTTTTACCAAATAGAATATGAAATGTACAGTGAAGGTGTAATTTGACATGTTTTACATTTGAAATTTTGTTTATACTTATCATTGTTCTGGTGATACTTTTCCTGATGCTATAGGTTAACAGCAGTATATAGTCATAAGGTATAATTTTAGTTATTATTTCTAAATGTTTGGTTACAATCTATTTTAGTTCGCATGTAGCTTTTCAATTAGACATGTATATCAAATTTATTTCTGGAGATTTATTAAAATAGATCCTTAGTTCCTATCCTTCAATAAAAATTAGCTAAATCCTTAGACATATATTTTCACAAAAGCTCTTCTTGTAACTTTATAATCTTCCTTTATACAACATAGAAAATGATTTAACCTTCAGTTACATTATACATGTTATGTTATCCCATAAGATTTTTATTTGTAAAAATTATATATTAATTTACTTGGGGTGAGTGAACTACAAGTATTATAAATTTCTGCCATTTTCAGATATGTTTTTGGCTACAAAACAGCCTTCAATCAAATAGGACTGTCTGGGGCCCCTGTGAAGAAGCACATGACCTCAGGTACTTCAGAGGAGAGGTCCTTGAGCACAGATTGTTCATGTTCTTATGTAACCACAGTTGAGACCTCAGTGGCAAGTCCAGAACAGCTGAATTGAGAAGCTGTACACAACATCCAGAAAAATAAGACTTTAAGTTACGAAGTTCAACTTAGTCCTTTTCCCTAATCTGTCTGGCTTGCTCAAAATAAAACACAAGTGAAAGCTCTTGAGAAGTTGAATGTGTTGCTCAGAAATATTAGAGACCTTCACACCTTTGTATTGATGAATTTCATTTCCAAGGGGAGAAGATCAAACAATTTCTATCTCACAACCCCTTTTCAAGACAGGGTGAAAAGCTTCAAAAATTAGGAGGGCCAAGCTATTATTCATGTTCTGCTACCCACTCAGGATTAGAACTTAAATAAGTTGATTTCCAATTGTGGGTCTCTGTGGCCTCATCTGTCAAGTGAAAATTTTTTCAAAAGAATCCTATTTGGGCAAGTACAGTAGCTCATGCCTAAAATCCCAGCTACCAAGGGGGCAGATGGCAGGAGAATCTCAGTTACAGGCTAACCTGGGTAATAACTTAGTGAGACTATTTCCCCAATCTCAATCAATAAACCAGGTAGAGTGATATATGCCTGTGCTCCCTGCTACACAGAGGCTATGGGTAGAAGAATCATGGTCTGAGGCCATGGACAAAAACAGAAGGTCCTATTGGAAAAATAACTATTGTGTATAGGGCTGTGAAACTCACAAGCACAACCTAGGGTACAAAAAGAGACAATGTCCCTATTAACCCCTGCAAGATCCTTCACTCTGAAGAAGACTCACCAGCAGGGGCTCATTTAAGTTCAAATTCTAAACTTCACCTCAGACACCAAACAGAGGCTGAAGAAGCCTAGGTAAGCTGACTCCCTGTAGGATTCACAGTGGTTGTTGATGTTACTAGTGCATGGAGAATAAAGAGGACACCTTACCACATAGAACTGCCTGCCCTACAAGGCAACCCATCTATTATGGCTCTCACCCTGAGTCAACGTCTCTGCCATGCTGTTCTGTGAAGTACCCAGGAGGCTATGTTTTAACCTACAAAAAGTCACAGACATAAGCCAAGAAACAACTTTGAAATATGAGTTATTTAACCAGCACATGAGGGTCTGGGTATAATTCTCTCACTAATTGCCTGGCATTACCCATCATAGAGGCACTCTTATTTTACTGAAGGATATTGGAATAGGCAAAACACAAGCCCTGAACACTGGGACATAGTGATCTTGGTTAAGGTGTGTTTAATGGCTCTAGAAGGAATCACAGATATGTTGGATGGAAAGTATTGGCAATGAGGTTTCTATAACTACAAGGGTCAATGGGCATTATATGGCAAGAAAGGTTTGAATTTCTACAGACGCATCTTCTAAAGAGCTGTAAACACAATCCTCATCCTATTCCTTCCAGTCTCAGGATATACCTGTGATTACTTATAGGCCAGCCAGGTTCTTCTTCTTACATAGAAGAAGGAGAATGGGTGAAGTCAACAAGCAGAAGGAATAGAGAAGAGATCAGAGAGGCCAACCACCCTGTCTGGTGTGTACTTCTCCCACAGGCTAATTGTAATAGCCTCTGTGATGACAGCAATTCGGGGGAGGGGGAGGGGAGGTTGCAATCCTGGCTGTAGCATGGGGAAGCACACCTAAGTTGCATGGGAATAGGGAAGGAAGCAAATGCCGGGTGCTGTGTGAAGAAGTTTAGAAGCACAAGTAGACTTATATTTGAGAGCACATTACATTGAGATATAGGGACTCCTCTTTCCTTGTCTTAAAGAAACACTGCTGAAGGGAAACAGATGAAATGTCCAAGATCAGAAAATAGTGCAAGGGATGTGAAATTAGGTCTTTTGAGTCTGTTGAGAAAGCGGACTCGACATCCTCTGAGCTTCCCTCTGTGAAAGGCTGGCAAACAGCAGGAAAAGACCCTTGAGGACCTCAAACGTGAACCCTCACAAGCACGGGGACAGCTTACTATGACTCCATTTTTTATTTTTTGGTTGGTCCTGGGGCTTGAACTAAGGGCCTGGGCGCTGTCCCTGAGCAGCTCAAGGCTAGTACTCTACCACTTTGAGCCACAGCGCCACTTCCGGTTTTCTGGTGGTTAATTGGAGATAAGTCTCACAGACTTTCCTGGCTGGGCTGGCTTTGAACTGTGATCCTCAGATCTCAGCCTCCCGAGTAGCTAGGATTACAGGCGTGAGTCATGGGAACCTGGCTTTGCCATGCCTCTTGATGTGACTCCTAAACCACACCACACATGATTTTTTTTTTTTGGTCCGGTCGTGGGGCCTGAACTCTAGGCCTGGGTGCTGTCCCTCAGCTCTTCAGCTCAAGGCTAGCGCTCTACCACTTGAGCCACAGCGCCACTTCTGGCTTTTTTCTTTTTGCTTATGTGGTGCTGAGGAATCGAACCCAGGGCCTCAGGCATGCAAGGCAAGTGCTCTACCCCTAATCTACCTTCCCAGCCCGACACATGATTCTTATAAGCACCCTGTGTGCTGGTTTAAGAATCACGTGTACTTGATTTTTGTATTTGTAGTTTCACCATCACTCTGGAGTCTTCATGCCCATAGTGTGCCACCTTCTCCCTCACTACCCACGTCCATCTTCATTAAGTCTTCTCCACCCCTGTCAGGGTTGTTGGCATCTCCCTAGTTACCCACATGCCCGGGAGGTCTCTAGCCACTTTCCTGATCTCCTGAGGCCTTTCTTCCTCAAAGCCCAGGAAGACCTTTTCTGTCCTCTTCCTCGGCCACCTCCTCCAACCAGGACCACTGCCCACACAGCCCCCCCCATGAAAACTGCTCCCCTTTGCTGACCACAGCTCCCAATCCTCAACCCTCAATGGGGTAGCTCCTCCAGATGCCTATGGACCTCTCCCACTCAAAAGGACGAACTGAGGATTCAGAAACACTGGCATTGATTTAAACACTTTAATAAGCGTCAATGATGGGCTCCCCCCTCTATGCACACTTCAGAGGACCAATGAGGCTGTTGAAGTCCTAGCGATGCACCATTACTTCTTCAGTTTAGGCATCTCAACATTTAGAGTTTGCATTGTATCTTGAAAGAAGAGTCTCAGGTGTTTCTTTCTTTGAATTACCTTCTTCACATGCTCTGGGCGAATGTATTTCTTGCCATTGTTGTGGGCTTCTTTGCCAGCCAGGTCTAGGATGTTGGAGACCAGATACTCGAGGACGCCAGCCAGGAAAACAGGAGTTGAGGAGGTCAGACGCCGGGCGTAGTTACCCTTACGCAGGAACCGGTCCATACGGCTAACAGGAAACAGGAGTTCTGCTCTTGCAGAGCGAGACACTGGATGTTTCTTAGGCTTGAGGGCGTTCACGCTTTGCTTCTTCTTTGCCATGTTGCTTACTAAGTGTTCTGGTTAGCTCAGCTTGATTTTGCTTCTGGCCTAGGCCTCTTGATGCCCCTGCTTTTATACCTGCACCCCCACATTTCACCCAAGCACCTTCTTTGTGACAAGCTACACTTTGTGATGTCATCGGGGACCACTGAGCCACTGATCAAGCTTCAGTATGGAAATGGCCATGATAGGAGGCTGACCACCTTACTGACTTGCTCCTCGTTTGTTGAGGAAATACTATGTCTAATACACTTTAACATTCTAGCAAAAATTTGTGTTTCAATTAAAACATTGCCTTCTCACTAACATACTACTTTAGGTACCATTATTCTAGCTATATTTCTTCATTGGACTCTCACATCACATCTCTCACATCTAATAGACATGTACTTTGTCAAACTGACCATAATTCCTATTCTGTTGAAGGTTCACACAATGTACTACACTCTCACTCACACTCATTGCCATCATTTTCTGACCTAAGACCTTGTCTACTCTAAATAAATTCTTCTCTACCACGAATAAAACCTTGCTCGCCATAGTCATGGTGGTTAGGTTCTTCACAGTTACCAGTATCATGCTGGGAAATTTAATGTGCCTAAGAGGCCTTCAGCCAACTTTGTGGACTCACTCCCAAGGCCTGCCTTTCCAAAAACCCATGAAGGTATAACAGAAACAGATACTGAACTATGTTTACAATTGTAGCTTTAGCTTAATCATTAACAACTAGTTTTAGTGACAAGTTTTTATATATAAGCCAGGCACTGATGGCTCATGCCTATAATTCTAGCTACTCAAGAGACTTACATCTGAGGATCTCAGTCTGAAGCCAGCCTGAGCAGACAATTCTGAGAGCCTTTTCTCTTCAAACCACCAAAAAGCCAGAAGTGGAGCTGTGGCTCAAGTGGTAGAACACTAGCCTTGTGTGAAATAGCTAAGGGACAGATGGGCACTGATGGCTTATACCTGTAATCCTACCTACTCAGGAGGCTGAGGGGTGAGGATTGAGGTTTGAAGTCAGCCCAGGCAGGAAAGTCTGTGAGACTGTTATCTTGAATTAATCACCAAAAAAGCCAGAAGTGGCCACAGAGGCTCAAGTGGTAGAACACTAGCCTTGAGCATAAAGTGGTAGAGTCCAGCTGGCTTTGAACTCTCAAGCCTGGGCTGGCTTTGAACTGCTCTCCTGAGTAGCTAGGGTTACAGGTGTGAGCCACTGGTGCCTGGCTTAGGAATATACTCCTAAAATAATAATGTGTAGTCCTCATTTTGCCTGGAAAATAAACCAAAACCCTGTTCGTGTTTGTAAATTGGCGTTAAATTCAGGGGCTCAAATTTCTGGTATTAAGGTCACTTTCTCTGCTCTCTATCCCAGCCACTTCCCAAGGCCTTCGTTTCCCAGAGCCTTGAGGACACTTTTTCTTTTTCTTTTCTTTTTTTCTTTTTTGTGTGTGGGGAGTCCGGTTGTGGGGCCTGAATTCTGGGCCTGGGCACTGTTCCTCAGCTCTTCAGCTCAAGGCTAGCACTCTACCACTTGGGCCACAGCGCCACTTCCGGCTTTTTTCTTTTTTGCTTATGTGGTGCTGAGGAATCAAACTCAGGGCCTCATGCATGCAAGGTAAGCACTCTACCACTGAGCCACCTTCCCAGCCCAAGGACACTTTTTCTGTCCTTTTCCCTAGTCACTTCCTAAGACCTTCCTTCCCAGAGGTGAGGCATTTTCTGTCTTCTTCCCGGGCCACTTCCCAAGGTATCCTTTTCCTAGAGTCCATCCAGAGGTGCTACATTTTCTCTCTTCTTCCCCAGCCACTTCCCAAGGTATCTTTTTTTTTTTTTTTTGCCCAGAGCCCATTCAGAGGTGACACATTTTTCTGTCTTCTTCCCCAGCCACCTCCCAAGGTACCCTTTCCCAGAGTGCGTAGTACACATTTTCTGTCTTCTTCCCCAGCCACTTCCCAAGGCCTTCCTTCCCAGGGGGTAACAATACATTTTCTATCTTCTTCCCCAGCCACTTCCCAAGGTATCTCTTTCCCAGAGCCCATGAGGACATCTTTTCTGTCCTCTTTCCCCAGCCACCTCCTCATACTAGGGCCACTGCCCTAGGCTTCCCCAATAGAAACTGCACCAGTGAAATCACTGACTCAAAAGCACCATGCTAACCAAAGCTTCACTTCCAACCCTCCTTCCAGTTACCTCAATGACACTTCCAACTCAAAACATCGAACTAAGAGTCAAAACGACCGACATTCTTTTAAGCAGTTTAATATCATTTGTTGATGATAAGCATAGGGCCTCCTCTGCTATAAGACAATTGTCTTTAGCTGACTCCATGAGGATTCCCACCAGGCTCTGTAACCCAGGATTTCAGCCACTTCTTCTGGGTCCAGGTATGTTGTCAAACAGAGAGAACGATGTATCTTTGAAGATATCAGGGCGTTCATTGTTGTCACCATCTCCCCCACCATTCTGTACATTCATGTCCATTCTGATGCTATTGCTGGCCTCAGAGCCTACTAGTTCCAGGATGTAGTCAGTAACATAGTCGAGCATAGCAAGGAGGAAATCTGAGGTGGTGGAACCAATGCACGGCATGTATTGTTCCTCCTGCAGAATGTCGTAGATGTAGTTCACAGGTAACTGGATATCAGACCTTGAAGATGAATCTTGAGGGCGACTGCCATCTTTGGGAGAATTCTCTTGGCTCTTGTTCTCTGACATGATGGCTTCTGGGTTTTACTCTGGTCTGCTTTGCCTGATTTGTCAGCTGGACTGGTTACCTGAAGTTGGCAGCACCCAGGCCCTACCAGCCGCTTTTGTGACATCCTACACATTATGCTGTCATTGGTGTCCATGGAACTGCAGTTAGGCCTTAGCCTAACAATGTATGCCATGGCAACCTGGTAACAGGATCCTGATTTCGAGAAAACTTTAACTTTATACTTGAATTAACGTTGTAAAACTAAATGTTCCATTTGAAAACTGCCCTGATTTTCACATCTATAGGTTATTAAGTCTTGTGCTTTCTTTTGAAGTCCTTCATATAATTTTGTTAGTTGCAGGTTACCGATTGCGAACAATAGAGGTATGGTTATTCCCATACTTGTATTGAATTTTAACTTCATTTTACTCATTTAAATATTTATATTTATATTTGTGTGTGTGTGTGTGTATGTGTGTGTGTGTGTGTGTGTGTGTGTGTGTGTGTGTGTGTACTGGGGTTTAAACTCAGGGCCTGGGCACTGTCTCTTATCTTTCTCTACTCAAAGCTGGTGCTCTACCACTTGAGCCATGTTTCCACTTATGGTGTTTTCTGGATAATTGGAGAAAATACTCTTGGTTTTGTCTCTCTAGGATTACATTGAACTAAAGTCCTCAGATCTAAGTTTTTTCTTTCTTTCTTAATGTACGTTTTTTATTGTAAAAATGCTGTACAGAGGGGTTACAGTTACATGAACAAGGTAATGAGGACATTTCCTATTGAGCATTGTTGCCTCCTCCTTTGTCTTCCCCCTTCCATCCCTTCTCTCCCACCTCCACAACTATACCCCCCACCTAAGTTGTAAAGTTCATTTTCAGCATAGGTTTTTTTTATTGTGAAAATACTGTAGAGAGGGGTTACAATTACATGGGCAAGATAATGAGTACATTTCTTATCAAGCATTGTAGCCTCCTCCTTTGTTTCCCCTTCCCATCCCTTCCCTTCCTCCCATGGGTCAACTTGTATCTCTATTTAAGCATTTTGTTTTTTCCTTTCCCCTCCCCGAATGAGAGAAGTGTATATACAAGATGGAGGGCACCAACATCAAATACAGTGAAAACAGGGGGGAGGAACATACAAAGAAACAAAGAAATCACATGGTACATTCTAAATAGCTTAGAAACAATAGCAAGAAAGAAAAAAGGTATTTGTGTCCCTATCTTGGGGTTCATTTTGCTTAACATCATCTTATATGGTCATATGTACATAGCTTTTGGCCTTTTCTGCTTGTCTTACACATGTACTAGCTATTGCAAATAAGGGAAACCATGGGACCTAGAATTGAGCCTGGCTTACTTCACTTAATATAATTTTTTCCAAGTATTTCCATTTCCTAACAAATAGGGCAATGTCATTCTTTCTGATGGAGGCATAGAATTCCAGTGTGTGTGTGTGTGTGTGTGTGTGTGTGTGTGTGTGTGTGTGTGTGTGTGTGTGTATCACATTTTCTTGATCCATCATCTACTGAGGGGCATCTGGGTTGGTTCCATATCTTAGCTATGGTAAATAATGCTGCAATAAACATAGTTGTGCTGGTAGCCTTAGTGTGGCCTTGTTTGTGATTGTTTGGGTAAATGCCCCAAAGTGGGATTGCTGGATCATAGGGGAACTCTATGTGAAGTCTTTTGAGGAACCTCCATACTGCTTTCCAAAGTGGAGTAAGGTTCCCTTCTGTCCACATCCCCTCCAGCATCTGTTGTTATTAGATTTCTTGATTATAGCCATTCTAATTGGGGTGAGGTGGAATCTCAATGTTGTTTTGATTTACATTTCTTTTATGACTAGAGTGGTTGAGCATTTCTTCATGTATCTATTGGCCATTCTTATTTCTTCTTTAGAGAAGTTCCTCTTTAAGTCTTTTTTTAAATTAGTTTTTTATTGTGAAAATAATGTACAGAGGGGTTACAGTTACATGAGCAAGGTAATGAGTACATTTCTTATCAAGCATTGTTGCCTCCTCCTTTGTTTTTCCCCTACCATCCCTTCTCTCCCACTTCCACAAATACACTCCCCCCCACCCTCCCTACCCCCCTCCCACCTAAATTGTAAAGCTCATTGTTCAACAGTGTCTTGTACATTTCATTGTTACAATGGGTCAAACTGTATCTTTATTTTCTCTTTAAGTCCTTAGCCCACTTATTTAACGGGCAGTAGATCTAAATTTCTTGAGTAACACGAATTATAAGCATTAGCCAGCAGCCTGTCTAATACAGCTGATTCATAAACTTAGATTTATTTTGGATAG